ACTTCTAGTCCCACATTAGCCATGAAATCTAGCTAGGTGACTTTGGGCTAAACACCAGGAGACTGGGAGTTCTAGTCCTGCCTTAGGCATGAAAGCCAGCTGGGTGACTTTGGGCAAACATGACCCTGGGACATTACAAACCATCATAAATATAAGCCGGTTGCTGAGTATCTGAATTTTGATCACTTGACCACGAGGATGCCAGAACGGTCTTATATGTGAAAAACGGCTCATAAGTCACTTTTTTTCAGTGCTGTTGTAACTCTGAGTGGTCACTAATTGAACTTTGTCACTATATAGGGACACCAGACTAGGAACTGGCCAGTCCTTCTCTCCCAGCCCTAAGAAGGAGGCAAGGACAAACCCTCTTTCCAGATACAGATAATCAAAGTTGGAAGGGACCTTGTAGGTCATCTAGTCCAATCCCCTGCCCAAGCGGGAGACCCTACCCCATTTCTGACCAATGGCAGTCCAGTCTCTTCTTGAAAGCCTCCAGTGATGAAGCCCCCACAACTTCCGAAGGCAACTTCTGTTCCATGGGTTGATTGTTCTCACTGTCAGAAAATGTCTCCCTTATTTCCAGGTTAAATCTCTTCTTGTTCAGTTTCCATCCATTGTTCCTTGTCTGGCCTTGAGGTGCCTTGGAAAATAGCTTGACCCCTTCCTCCTCTCTGGGGCAGCCCCTCAAATATTGGAAGATGCTCTCCTGTCTCCCCTGGTCCTTCTCTTCCCTAGACTAGCCAGGCCCAGTTCCTGCAACCATTCATCATATGTTTTAGCCTCCAGTCTCCTCATCATCCTGGTTGCTCTTCTCTGCACTCTTTCTCAACATCTTTTTTATAGGAAACTGCAAGAAAATGTCCACTTAGTTGCCTGGAATCAACCCTGCTTTTGAAGGGCTCCGTTTAAATTGGTTTAGAGAGCTGAAATTTTACAGGTGCAAAATTACTATAGCTCTTAATTTATGAATGATTTGCTCCGGCTTCCAAAGTCAACGAAATACTTCTCCTCTCCTTTTTTAATTTTTATTTATTTATTTTTGCAAAAGAATGGAAGACCACCAGGGTCCCTGCTGAGATCAAAAGCCTGGCCTAACTCGACTCCAAGTAAGATGTACTCCGTCCTGTCTGCTTATTAAAATACTTGCTGCTATGGACTTCCCTTCTAGCCCTCAGGGACAAATGGGAGAGTGTTGAAATAAGACAACTCGAAGCGTCCTTTTCAAGAAAGGGGAGTCCAAGGTGGTGGCTGCCACTAATCTTGCACAAACCTCTTTTAAGTGAACTTCTCCTCAAAGGCCAACAGATGCCCGGCTGTGAATGTCCGAGCAGCTGGAGACGGATGCCCTGTTTGTTGGGCCCAACAAATGGGCAGGGTGAGGTTGGAGACTAAGGGAAGGCGGAGGCACCAGTGCCTTCTGGAAAGCTGAAGGACCATCATTCTAAGGCAGCCTGAACAGAGAGAACAGCAAAGGGGAAGAGGAAGAGGAAGGGGAGCAAGAGAGAGGAAGGAGGAGGAGAAGGATGGAAGTAGGAAAAGGAGGCGGAGAAGGAAGGAGGAAAGGGAGAGGAGAAGGAATGGTGGAAGGAAGAGAATGAGAAAGGGGGTGAAAGGGAGAGGAGAAGGAGAGAAGGAAGGAGAAGGAAAAGAGGGAAAGGAGAAGGAAAGGGAATGAGAGGAGGAGGAGGAGGAGGAGGGGGAGGAGGAGGAGGAGGAGGAGGAGGAGGAGGAGGATGTATGCTCTCTGATCTTGGTTGTTTTCTTGCAGATATCTCACTACCCAATTAGGGAACATCATCAGTGCTAGAAAGGAGTGGGGTTTGTGGAATGGAGGAGGAGGAGGAGGGATGAAAGGGAGAGGAGAAGGAAAGAAGGAAGAAGAGAAGGAGAAGAATGAAAGGAATGATGAAAGGAAGAGGGGAAGGAGAATGATGATGGGAGGGGAAGGAGATGGAGGAGAAGGAATAGGGACAAGGAGAAGGAGGAGAAAGAGAAGAAGAAGAAGGGAGAAGAATGAGTAGGAGGAGAAAGAGAAGAAGAAGGAGAAGGAAGAAGGAGAATGAGTAGGAGGAGAAAGAGGAGAAGAAGGAAGAAGGAGAATGAGTAGGAGGAGAAAGAGAAAGAGAAGAAGAAGAAGGAAGAAGGAGAATGAGTAGGAGGAGAAAGAGAAGAAGAAGAAGAAGGAGAATGAGTAAGAGGAGAAAGAGAAGAAGAAGAAGGAAGAAGAAGGAAGAAGAAGGAGAATGAGTAAGAGGAGAAAGAGAAGGAGGAGGCAGAGGGAGAAGGAGGAGGAAGAAAAGGAGGAATAGCAGGGGAAGGGGAAGAAAAGAGCGGGGTGATTCATGATAGCTGCTCACCACGCAGAGGCTTCCATTTCCCAATCGAATTAAGCCTATCATTCCAGAGTGTAAATTATAGAAAAACAGTCTTCGGTTGCAACAGCAAGATCCTGAAAGAATAAATTAAGAATACAAATTGATCCATCACGCTCTTCCCCTTGGGAGAGAAAAGCAACACTAGGCACCGTGCACAAAAGTCAGTACACAGGCACTTGTGAACATTGATCTCGGGAGCCCACCCAGTGTGGCATGATCCATAAAAGGCTTTCAAGACCTCCCTCTCCCTCCTACTCTGAAAAATTGCAAAAGGAAAAAAACAACCCCGCCCAAAACATTTGGGTGCATCCAGGGAAGCTAAAGGCCAAGCCAGCCCCTCCACTGCCTTGGGGGGTGGGGGAGGAGTTGCCTAAGAAGAAAGAGAAGGATAGGGGTGTTAAGACAGGTGAGCCGTACCTGCACCGGGCCAGGTGCTTCTTTTTGAAGCTTCCTGCTGGAGCAGCTCCAAAGGAGAAATTAAGTCTCCGCATGACCGTTTCCTGGAGTTTTTTTTTTTTTCCCTTTGAAGACGTTTCACTTCTCATCCAAGAAGCTTCTTCAGCTCTGACTGGATAAGTGGAGAATGGAAGGATTTACACGCCTTGCAGACAGCTGGTCATTTGCATCCTTTTAGAGGGTCCTTGAGGCCACTTGGAGGTTTATCTGTGTCCCGTGTCTGAAAACTGAAGACTACAGGAGCCATTTGCACTACTCAGGTGACTCTGAGGACGCAGATAAAACTGCAAGTAGCCACGCCTAGTTCCTGCAACCATTCATTGTATGTTTTAGTCTCCTGGCTTTTGATCATCTTAGATAGATTCAGATTAACGGAGTTGGAAGGAAACTTGGAGATCATCCAGTCCAACCCCCTGCCCAAGCAGGAGACCCTACCCCATTTCTGACAGATGGCAGTCCAGTCTCTTCTTGAAAGCCTCCAGGGATGACACTCCCACAACTTCTGAAGGCAACTTCTGTTCCATGGGTTGATTGCTCTCACTGTCAGAAAATTCCTCCTTATTTCTAGGTTGAATCTCTCCTGGATCAGTTTCCATCCATTGTTCCTTGTCTGGCCTTTGGATGTCTTGGAAAATAGCTTGACTCCCTCCTCTCTGGGGCAGCCCCTCCAATTTGGAAGACTGCTATCCTGTCTCCCCTGGTCTTTCTCTTCCCTAGGCTATCCATGTGCTCCTTCCTATATTTTGAACCACGGTTATCCGTGTACTCCGTGCCGTGCCCTAGACAAATAAATTAAATACGTCAAATGTCAGTGGTGGTTTAGCATGAGTGGAGATAATTCTCCGTTTGAAAACAGCCCAGCCCAAGATCTGCATCAGAGAAGAGTACAAATCTTTTAACCATCAACAGGCCAAACAAGACAATCTACAGCTTCTGCCTCTGATTACATGTTTGTTTTTAATCTCTAGATGAATGACACTGATTTTTTATTTTTTATTTTTTTGTCTCATTTGCACCCCTGGGCAAAAATGCAAGTTTGGTGCAAACCTGGTTCTGCTTTCTGTCTTTGATTTGGGACAACGCAAATCTTTTTGGATTTTGTTTTGAGTTTTTTTTGTTGTTGTTGTTGGGAAGTTTGGCAGTGCATACACAGCCGTGTTTCTTCAACAGGAAAATACAGATACTCCCAGAGGAAAAGCTTGTCTCCAGAAGTGTGAATGTTCCAACACTGGAAGTTTTTAAGAAGAGACTGGACAACCATTTGTCTGAAATGATAAAGGGTTTCCTGCCTAAGCAGGGGGTTGGACTAGAAGACCTCCAAGGTCCCTTCCAACTCTGTTGTTCTGTTACAAGCTTGTCCATCTCTCCTTTCCCTCCTAGCAAACTCGAGCCGTTTTCTCCTTGCAGGACAACAGGAGGGTGTTGAAACTTCAAAATTAGCCACCATCCCTTTTCATTATAGTTTTCAAAGAATGGCAGCATTTGTTTTTTTTTTCTGATTTTCTTCCGTAGGAGGTTCTGGACTATCAGGAGGAAGAGGGAGAGTGGGGGGGGAGAAGAAGAAGGAGGAGGAGGAGGAGGAGGAGGAGGAGGAGGAGGAGGAGGAGGAAGAAGCAGGAAGGAGGAGGGGGAGGGGGGGAGAAGAAGAAGAAGAAGGAGGAGGAGGAGGAGGAGGAGGAGGAGGAGGAGGAGGAGGAGAATGAGTAGGAGGAGGAAGAGAAGAAGAAGAAGAAGGAGGAGGAGGAGGAGGAGAATGAGTAGGAGGAGGAAGAGAAGAAGGAGAAGAAGAAGAAGAAGAAGAAGAAGAAGAAGGAGAAGGAGAAGGAGAAGAAGAAGAAGCTGCCTGTGTCTTTAAGTTATCAGGAAGCCGAACCAGGGAAATTTGGACAGTGAAAAGGCAATCAAGGCTGGGAAAGAGATGGAGCTTAATCTAATTTGGTTGGAGGGGGTTCACCCCTGGTGTTGTTTTCAAGACTGTGGGAATGGAAAGATCAGGAAGAGCAAATTCTCTCTCCGCAGCCAGAAACAGCGGGGCGTCCCTCCGGCCGGTCCCTGATCCAAAGCGAGGCTAAGAAAAGGGGATTAAAAAGCGACGCTCAGATGTGCATTTCATACACTGGCACCCTGTGGAAAGGCAGTAATATTTCAAACTTCGTTCCAGAGAAGGAGAAAGACCCCTTGGAAAAAGAGAGAGAGGGGGGGGGGGGGAAAACACTATACAAAAGGCCGGCCAAAACTGCGTTAAAAGAGAGGAAGGGGTTTGCGTGGAGGAGGGGGTGGGAGAGAAAAGAGGCGGGGGAGGGTGTCATTTTGTTTGCTGGGGTGGGTTTAAAAAAAAAAAACTGGTGGAAATAAAGAACGGATGAGCCATTTGGGCGTCTGAAGTTCCCCATTGTCAGGAGGGGAAAATCTTTTAAAACTTTTGGAAGTCTTCATCTCAAAAGGCCCACCCTTTTGGCTCCCAAAGTTGGTGGAAAAACAGGGGGGGGAGGGGGGGAGAAAAATAGGCCCGGGGAGGGAAGGGGGGGGTTCTTTCCTTTCAGGTTTCTTTTAGCCAAACCAACTTTCTTTGTGGGTCAGATTCAAGCTGAGCGGAGATGGTGGGTTTGCAACGCAGCTTAAAAGCGGGGTGATCCCGAGGTTTGGATGGTAGGGATATCACTGGAGTCCGTCTTTTGGAACGGGGTTGCCTTGAAAAATCAGGGGTATGGGTGGGTCAATTTAGAATGGAATAGAATGGAATAGAATAGAATAGAATAGAATAGAATAGAATAGAATAGAATAGA